TCTACAGGTTCCAAAAGAAGTCCAGTAGCTGCACCCCTGCAGAGCCCCAGGGACTTCCAGTAATAATTACCAGTTGCTCACAATCAAGAATCCAGTCCACAGCGCCATGCAAAGACTGACTCAATTGTGCATGTAATCCACAGAACCACAGGCCACCATTTTCCTGCTATTCACCATCTTATCTCTTTATGTGCCACACTTTCGAAAATTTGCAGTTTGCAAGCATTAAAGGCAGTATATAATGCAGATACATTTGCATACTAGTCTGTAATACAAACTGCAAATCAAAGAACACTTGTAATTTTAAGCAAAGAGTTTTAGCAGCTCTTTGTTAAACACTGGATAACAAGGTTTGACTTGACACAACATTTAAAGCACTGCACAGATGCTACACAATATCTCCGAGAAAGTAGATAAAACTACTAGTAAAACCCATCCTTTCTTTAAAACAAATTTTTCTCAAATCTTTAGTTGTTCTGCCCCCTGCTATAGAGCAGTACACTATTATTACCTCATAAGATAAAAATGTCTACATCTAAACCCACCATCTTCTCATTCTGCTCCATTTTAGACCCCTTTACTCACAAGACTTGTTTTCTCACCACAGAAGGGCATCTGGCCACCTTTTAACTCACCATCTCATTTTTTCAAGGCCTCTCAAAAGAGAACTATTCAGAATTGACCTTTAGGAAAACTCAGCTATGGTGCAGTTCCACCATAACATTCAAGAGTACCCAAGATTCAAACTTACTAACCTTTCATATTTTACTAATTACGTTTATCTGTTTTTTCAATGCATTGTCTGAAAACAAACAAACAAATAAAAACCCTAACACCAGTGGTACTTACTGCAATTGCCTTAGTCTTATTAATAAAATCAACAGTGTTTTGAATAAAATATCTCAGGAAAACTAACACTGCTTTTATAAGAATCACTGGAAAAATTTCTTAAGTGGCAAACAGGTATTTTACTTGATACCTCTGAGAAGAAAAGTTATTAGAGTGCCAAGACAGGCTACTTTAGTAAAATATAAAAATCAAGTCTATTTATTCATCTGACATTTTTATTACTGCTGCTTAGAAGTTCTGCTATTGATCATAGATTTTTTTATAGACTTGTTAGCAGATCTACATGCAATCAAGTTTTAATCTAAAAAAAATATCTGTGAAGTGTCACTTTAGCATTATCAACAAAACCGACCCATGGCTGCTCAAATACCACAGTGCTAAGCCTGTTAGCAGTGGCTCAATACTAAATTAAACTTCCCAAGGGAACATCTTATATACACAAGACTGAGAAGCTGTTCAGCCATCGTGCCTGCAAAGCACATGAGCTCTCCTTCACAAGCTCAGGCCTGAAGCATAGCCATGGAGTTTATTGAAAAAGAAACCCAATAACAAACCAAACCAAAGAACTCCTTTTAAAGTCCTCTCTGCCAGCCATAGTGTCATTCATCAGAGGGAATTCAATAGACTTTTTTCAACTTCAGTGATGCTATTCAGAACCTACACAGTCAGCAATGAAACAACAGTTGGTTTTGTCCTCTACCACTTATTACTAAAAAATCCCAAAGCATCTGATAAATGCACACAGAGGAGAAACTCACAGGGTAACAACAGAGAAGAGGTAGCAAAAAAGTCCTGTAGTTTCCAGCTGATGAAAATAAGGGGTAAAAAAATCTCAAGATTTGTCACAAATACATAAGAGGAAGAAATAGTGCCATAACATTTAAAGACGATACTGGGATTGTATTCTAGTGGGAATCACAGCTGAATCCACTTTTCCAGTAGCTTGGTTTCTTCCCAGAACATATCAACCGTGGACTTCATTTCTTCCTATCTGTTGTCCCATTCCTTACTCTCCCGCCCTCCCAAATTCTGACTGAGTTGCTTCCGTAAATGTCTTACTACATTTTTAAAATTCCTACCTTACCTAAGTTAGGAACTATTGTAACTTTAAGCTGACTCAGGCTTCAGTTCTGTGCCTTAAGTTTGCTTAAAAATGTTCATCAAAACAGACTTTGCAAATATTCACTGACACAACCTGTTTACAGCTCGAAAACTAAGATTTTTATTGGCAGATCATAAGAAATGCTGCCTTTAACCCAACACATTTAACAGGTTTCCAAGACTTCTTTAATGCAGTTAAGGATTATTTATATCACTAGATTTCTTCCTTAATTGTGGAAGGGAGTATCCAGCAGGGCCAAATGACTGTCGAGTTACAAGTGAGTCAGATATAGTCTCCAGCCTGTTTTGTATCATCAACAGAGTTCTGCCCAAACAGTTAAAGTGCTTGTAGCAACATATAAAACAGTCTATATGAAAAAAGTATAGCCATCAAATTAAAATTTTCAAGCTACACAAAAAGTCAAAATTACTGTCTATATGAAAAAGTCTGATAAAAAGTATAGCCATCAAATTAAAATTTTCAAGCTACACAAAAAGTCAAAATTAAGAAGAAATGATGCTCCAGAAATTACTTCACTTGAAAGACGGGGGTTTTATTCTTAGACACACCTGAAATTTAAAAAAAACCCAACTCTCCACAGACTTCTGCCACTCAAATTATGTATGTAAGACCTGAATAGAAAGACAAGACATAATTTAAGCTTAGCCCTCAATATTACTAAATACATTATTTCATCCAGTGACCAAAAAAATCTAGCTACATCACTGCATTGCATGCACAAATTGTATGCACAAATTCTATACCAAGTAGAATATACTGCTGCTAGTCCTGGACTTTCCCAGAATACCTGAACTGGTATATCAAAAGATTTTATTTTAAATAGATTTAAATAGATTTATCTATTACAGATTAAAAGATGTTGGTGCATGTCCAAGACTTTCCCACTTTGTTCAGCACATTAAGGCAATCTCTGTAGCTGATCTTTCTGACACTGCTGGTGTCAAGATTACTTGAGGCCACTGACAACTAAGAAACAGAGTAGCTTTTGCAAGATATTAAAGGCCTATCTCCAGCTCTAATCTCTAAAAGCAGTCACTTTAAGCAGCGAAAATGCTGTTACAAAGATGCTGGAAGAAGGCAGCCAGTAACTACTGAACACCATCACATGCCCTACGCCAAATGGACAACGCACAGCACATTTTCTAGTGGCTGCATTTTAACTCCAAATCACAAGACCCCTAAATTTGTAACAGTTAATTTGATTTAACTGTATTTATTTTCAAAGCTACAAACACATGTTGCCAGTACCACAGACTAAAGCTAACTTCTAAACAATAACAAGGACCTAGGATAAGTTTATTACCATGCCATGACCTTGACCTGTTCCATTTGCAGAACAAGGGCAATATTTACCAGCTTCACAAGAGCACAGCAAGTTAAATTCTTAAATTCAAGTCTTTGGGAAAGAAAGAACATATTTAAGTAATTTATATAATCATGTCAGCCAATAAAATTCCAACTGTTTCAGGAGTTCCAACTTTTCTATATTTTAATTAACATGGGCCTGTGAGTCAAACAAGATGCTTATTTTCTAATGGCATCCTGCTCCGAGGTTCCAGCTGGGTAATCTTTGAGCACAACACCTTTTACTCCTCTTTTGATGCTGACATATTCCTGTCATCATTCCTTCCCCACCACCTCAATTTTTACTCCCCCATCCTCGCAGTGCTCACTCCTCCAGCAGCAGAAGACTTAGATCATGACAAGGACACCACACAGTAGCACCCTCTCTGTTTCTGCTGATTCTGGCAAAGAAATAACATGTAGGAAGTATGGAAACAGCCAGTCCCCTTTACCCCATGGTCCTTCTGTAAGGAACACATAGGAATAAACAAGGTCAGGAAAACAGAAAAACGTACAGTCCAGAAGAACACAACAATGGAAAACTGGAAAACGTGTCACTATATTAATTGGGTGCTAATGAACAAAGAATTGTTCTAATTTTTTACTAATTTTTCTCTCAATTACAACTTGAAAAATGATATTACACAGAGCAGGGAAAACAGGCATGGCAAGGAAATCGAGAGCAAACCGCTTTCAACAAGTCACATATTAGCTCACATTACAAAAATGGTTTTCCATGAAAACAATTTTTCATCATCATTTCATATAGCTGAACCAAAATCTTCAGAATCATGGAATCAGTTAGGTTGGAAAAGACCTATGAGATCACAGAGTCCAACCTACAGAACTTTATCCTCAACCATCACTCAGATTTAAAATGTTTTAGGAGAGGATACAGTTTTCTGTAGTGAAACACATCTAAATACAGGCAGCAAAAATGGGGAGGGAAAGCAAAGCAATTCTTCAAACTAGAAGAATAAAAATCATAGCAATGTTGAAAAATCTTATGCAAGATTACTTTATGAATTACAGTAGAACACTATTAAGTACACTTACAATTAAAAAAGCTATTTCTTCTGTATCACTGCCAGGTAAGCACCAATTCAGCACCCAGATTAAGGGGCTGGACTATCTCTTTAGAAGGAAAGGCTGAGGGAGCCAGGACCCAACCAATGTGTGCCAGTATCTGAAGGGAGGGTTCCAGAAGGATGACCAGGCTCTGCATGGTAGTGCTGAGCAACAGGACAAAAGCAATGGGCAGAAGCTGATGCACAGAAGTTCCACCTGAACACGAGGAAGAATTTTTTACTGTGTAGTGACCTTGCACTGGAACAGATTACCCAGAGAGGGTGTGGAGTCTCCCTCCCCGGAGATATTTCAGAACCATCTGGGCACAAACCTGCGCAACACGCTCCAGGACGACCCTGCTTGAGCAGGGAGGCTGAACCAGGTGACCCATTGTGGCACCTTCCAACCTGACCCATTCTGTGAGGAAGTAGAAGCAGAAAAAGAGAAATGGTTTGGCATAAAAATGTGCATTTCTGCCTCATCTCGTTTCCTCGGAAATACCAGAATTACTGAATTCTCTTTTTCTGCCACTGATAGACAGAAGACAATCCCATCTACTTTAAGATATGAACAAACCCCACAATGTAGGTGTTATTAATCCACTCCCTTAAAATTTTCCTTTCACCTGCTAAGCCAGATGCCTTAGGTGATGAATATACTGAAGCTTCTGAGGTATGCCCACCACAGACTATTTTCCCTTCAACTACTCAACTGTCATTCTCCCTGTTGTTAAATTAACAGTTAAACCATACAAAAACAGAATTCTACTTCTACCACAGGAATGGTGAAAAAATATAATTACTTTTAAAAAGTCTTCTTCCCTCTCCACCAACAGGCTCTATCTTCCTGTTTAGGAATAACTAGCTTTTTGTTCAGCTAATAACCAAAGCATGTAACACCCTCCCTGCTAAATAGTAAAGAATTGTTTAAGATGGTCTTTGGTGTTGTTTTTTTGTTTTATTGCAAAAAACAAAAACTGTTTAGGAGGTTCTTTACTCCAGTAATTTAGAACCAGTGTTAGATCACTTCCAGCTGGAGAAAATGCACCAGAGGCACTAGTATTCAAGTGAAGTGAGTCAAAACAACTAAGAGACTAGTTAAGATGGATGGACGATATAATATGTTTTGAGTGATTTCTGTAGAATTCTGCGGCTTCTGTGCTACATCTATGAAGTTGAAGAACTGGATATGAACCAGAACACAGACCATCCCAAGAAGACAGAATTTACCTAAAACTATGATTATTTCATATCTTTATCTGTGCTGTTTACCTTTTCCTAGAAAACACTACTCATAGGAAAAACTTGCTAAGTCAACTCTGACAAAAATAGCTTATCAACATTACTTCCAGCATTATGTAATGGACTCGTCATCGTATGCTCTGACAGATTATTTTAGAACTGGTTATACCTAAACATCCAGAAGAACATTCTTTGACTCACTAGATGTTTTGGTTTTATCTTAAGCTACCTACTACAAACACAACAATACATTCACCACTTTTTCACCATTACTGTCAGCTTTCTCATTCTGCAAGAACACAAAAAAAATGGTGCTCTAGACTGTGAAAAAAGAATTTCTCTAATACCATAAGGGTTGAAACAAGATGTACTCCATTAAAACGGAACTCTTTAAATGAAAACATCCCCTGATTAATGATTAAAAAAAAAAGGCAACTTAAATTAAATGCTGGCTGTGTTTTTTTGGTTTTTTGTTAATGCATAGTTTTATACTGATTTTCAGACTAAAAGGCACCTAAGATCAGGTAGTACCAGAACCAGTGTAGTGATACAGCTACAGTAGTTCTCTGCTTACTTGAGAAAACAAGTACTTTTACTGGCAGAGATAACATTCATAACTTAACACCTTTTTTCCCCAGTATATGCATTTCCACACTGCAATGCATCATACACAAACACTATTCAGGAAGCAATCAAGTAATGATCAACATGATTACACCATCAAAAGATCATAGGAAAGCTTTATTACAACAGAATGGATGAAAAATAATCAAAGGTAATAATACATGAAAGCTAAGTTTGTTGAAGGTCACTGACACGCACATGGGCATCACAGTTCAATAATATTTCTTTCCTTTTATATATGTTAGTCTATCACATCTGACAGGTCTTTGAGAACAAATTTTTCACAGAAGATCCAGCTGCTGGCAGGATGAGCACAACTATTGTGTGGAAAATTATCACTGTTCATGATGATCTATACATTCAAAGTAATTACCAGTACTGCAACCATGGGATAAGTGATAATAATTTCTTTAAACCTTAAATTCATTAATACCTTTTTCTCAAATTATGAACTTTTCTTTCCCGCCCCAGTCTTGATGTGCTCCCAACTGAAACCAAAGCTTTATACACTTCAAAGCACTTCTCCAAATGCACATCTATTAAAGTGTACACACAAAACCAGCCTGAGCATGGCACATTAGCTTCTGCCACAACTTTATTTTTTAAAGGAAAGACTGCAATGCCTGTTTAAAAACAAAAGGAAACCCATTTGTGACTTCCAGGCCCTGTGAGGTCTAATGTGCAATGTGAAAACCAGCTGGCCTCGCTCTGAAAGGGTTAAAAACAGCAACCAAAAAATTTAAACTACTTGTATTTCTCCAGCGGTAAAACCAAAATATTGCCAGGTCTTCCTGCAGCCAGGCCACTGGATAATTTAGGCTAAAATAAATGTTTATTAAAAAACAGGGCGTTGATTTCTTGGCAGCGGTGAAAAGCAGGAGACACCCCTAGTGTCGACGTAAAATACTACAGGACTCCATACTGTATCTCCAGGTTAATTTTCCGGCAGAAAAGAGGAAATTTAAACCCGTCATGACTGAAAAACCAGAGCGACTCTGGCACACACTCCCACACCTGGGCACACGGCACTCCGGCAGCCTCAGACCCCGAGCACCCATCCCGGGCGAGGCTTTCCGCCCCGGCGCAGGCACAGCGCACATTATCCCGTCCGCTGGGCTACGTGCATTACAGCTTTCCGGTCCGCGCACCAACAGCACAGCGCTGCTGCTGCTGCACCGGGGGCGGGGGGAGAACCCCGCGGAGCTGCGAAACAACCCCCGCACGGCAGCGCCGCCCAAATCGCCGGGGTCTCGTGTGGAGAAGGCTCCGGGCGCCCATGGTGCCTCCGTGGAGCGGACGAGGCGCAGCACGGGCGACGCGAATGCCCGGAGCGCGGGGAGGGTCGGGTGGGGGTGAGGTGAGAGGGTGCCGGCGAAGGGAAGGGCCGAGCCCGACAAGCGCTGCCAAGGCGGCGGAGGGAGGAGGCGGAGAGCCAGCGGGGTTCCGTGGGCGGCGGAGGAGAGCGGGGGATGCGCCCGCCGCCGGGGAGAGCCGGGAAGGAAGCCCACAGAGACGCTCGCCCGCGGGAGGACGTGGACGGCCCGGGGGCGGGAGGAGCCGGGTCAGGGGCAGGGCAGCGCCGAGGCGGAGCGGCGGTGGGGCCGCGGGGGTGGGGGACACGGCCCGGTCTGGAATATTCCAGCGGGGCGGGAGCGGGGAGGGGGGAAGAGCTAGGGAGGGGAAGCGAGGGAGGGTCCTCACCATGGCGGCGGGTGGGCGTCAGGCGTCTCCCCCGCAGATGAATCCGCCGACCCCGGCCTCGCTGTGCGTTGTCCGGCGTCGCCGCCGCCGTTGCCACTCCCAGTCCGCCGCCGGTGCCGCCGCCGGTGCCGCTCCCGTCACTGCGGCAAAGGCTCCGCTGACCCGCGCACGGAGCGAGCGAGCGAGCGAGGGAGGGAGGGAGGGGGCGCGAGCGGCGCTGGCGCGGGGCGGAGGGGGCGGGGCTCTCACATCCGGGCACTCCGCTGCGCCGGGGGCGGGGCGAGGTCGTGACATCAGCGGCGGGGCGGGGAGGGGGGAGCGCAAAATGGCGGCGGGGGCTGTCGGGGGCGGAAGTGATTTTTGAGATCACTGCGTGCAGCCAGCAGCAACTGTAACTCAAGCCTCGAAACCACTAAACTACATCACCCAGCACCAAGTCCAGGCGCCTCTTAAACAAGCACCTGCAGGGTTGGTGACTCCACCACTTCTGTCGGTAGTGCATTCCAATGTCTGGCCACCAGACCAGTTGAAAAAAAATCTTTTTTCCTGCTGTCTGATCCCAATCTGCCCTGTCGCAGTTTGAGGCCGTTTTCTCAGGTCCCCCCACTGCAGGCAGGGTAGATCCAGTTGCTCAAAGAGAGCGATGAGGTCCCTCTGAGCCTCCTCCATGCTAAACTGCCCCCGCTCCCTCAGCCGCCCCTCATGAGCGTGTGGGGAAAAGCCATTTTTGGGGCTGCCAGAAGGTCCCTTTTAGTAGGCCTTTTGTATTAAATGTTAGCTATAAAACACAACTGTTTCCTTTCTTTTTTGCTGCTAAACCAGGACTGATCAGGGTGATGGCATACACATTTTTTTCCCCTTGTATGATTTGACAGATGAACGTGTGATCATTTTCAGTGCTAGGCCTGGCTAAATGTGACTGTAAGGCCGCAGTGAATGGCTTGAAAAGGATTCCAAGGATGCAGATTTCCTGACCTGTGCAGCAGATACACAAAAATATCTTAATAAACTCAAGGTTTATTGCTGCTGCGGCTCCTGGTGCTAACAGTTGTTATCTTTGCTCCTTCAGGCCTCTGCCCAGGGAAAGGTTCGCTCAGGAAAACTGCCAGAGCTGCTGGTTGTCTTTTCTTCTCCCAAACACCTTTAGCTTAGGCTGGAGTCTCAGCTATAACCTGTATATATACATATATAATTATTATATGCATAACTATATATATCTATCTATATATATATATATGTGTGTTGTGTGTGTATATATGGATTTTTATAAGCTTTGCTGCTTGAGCTTCCTCATGTGACTTCTGTGTTCTGCAAAAGGGGGAAAAAATCCATGCAGGGAGGAAGTTCTGTACAAGGAAGCATTTAGAAGCATGCCTTTGAGAGGTGGCTGCTCTCCCTATGTTCTGGCTGTTATTTTCCTCAGGCTTTTAATGTTGTGTTGCAAGAGGCTATCCAGGCTTGAAGCTGCTTGGTAAAGAATCAGAGAGTATTTAGCGTTGGAAGGGGCCTCCAGAGATCATCTAGTCCAACCCCCATATTTAACAGATTTTTTGAGTATGGTGTTTCAGTACTGTTAATAGTTAATTATACAAAACTAAAGGAATTGTGCAGTGATGAGATAATCCTTAAAAGTGTATGCATGTATCTTTGTTTCATGCCAGCCTTGTACCCTGCATAGTCTACAAAGTAAAGTTACTGGAGCTGAATGCAAACTCAGATGAAGGATGTAGTCTCAGTAACCCCTTTGAGGCAAAATTTAGGGCAATGCAACTGCTTGCATAAGTAAGGCTGACCCTCAGGGAGTGATCTCTATATATTGTGAAGCTTTAAATAGGCCAGATGACACCTTTAAAAACCTCTGGAAAGGGTAAAATAAAATAGTTAATAAAGAGGGTGTGGTTCCACATTTCCTTTGGTGTTTTTGCCTTTCTGTCCTTTCTCTGCTAAATGGGTTTATTTTGGAGCACCATGACACAGCACATAACACTGTAACAAATGAGGTGGTGATGAGAAAATAATAATTATGTATAGTTGTGTTGATACTGCCAAAGAGAAGACTCAGTGCCCTGTTGATGTTTTTCAGGCATTTGTTCCTTGGCTCTCAATAGCCAGACACTTTGCCAGGGAAATGCAAATTAATTCTGTCAAGTTCAAGGTGAATGGTGAGCTAATTCGTAGGAGAAGGGAAGATTGGATTGTTGCTTTAAAACCAGGTTAATTTTTTAGGACCACAGCTGAGAGCATGAGCTTTCCAATCTAAATGGTAATATCCCCTCCCTTCAGCTCCTTCTGGAAGAGGAACTGCCTCATTAATGTTGCCCTATTAGTGGGAGTCTGAGCTGATCTAAGATTAGCAAAGGTTACCTTCAGAGTGCAGAAGGAGAAACCTGGAATCTTGAAATTAAATGCACAAATGCTAAGAGCAATGGGAATCCCATAGGGAAGTCTGCTCAGGGACCTACATAAATGAAGAGTGACTACGGAGTTCAAGAATAGATCAAAAGTTGTTCTGTTCCAGAAGACTGAAGCAAAGCAGAACAATAAATGTGCAGTTCTTAGAAACTGTTCATGACTGACGAATGTTCTGTTCCCAAAGAGATACGCAGCAAGGGGGAAGCCTCAGCAGGAAGAGCCAAGAGTGGGTCAGGGAGATGGCACAGAAAAGTCTGGCAAAAGTAACTAAGTGAAGGTGGTGGTGATGACTGAAAGTGAATGGTGGTAATTTGCACCAGAAGAAAACAAAACAAGCACTAAAACATAAGTGTAAGATGTGAGTTAATAACGAATCAGCAAAACAGGCTGGTAAGAGCCTGGGCCTGGCCACAGTGGGAGGATGTACATCAGAAAATTATCTGGTCCGGGGAAGGAATTTTCTGCCTGTTTTTATTAACAGATACGGATGGTTAGGATGTCTCTTCTTTGGGGGGAAAAAACCCTAATAGATAGGATGTCTAGGTATAAAATATCCCTAGATTTCACTAAAAGCTAGCATTAAAACTGACTGGCCTCTAGCCAAAAAATAATAACTTGAGAGTTCTAAGAGGAAAGGAATTTTGATGTAAAACAGTCTAGCTCCTTGCATCTCTGTCATTGCAGCTGTATCTAGCAGATGTAAATCTGGAGTAAAAAAATCAACTAAATTAAATTGAAGGAAGCTAGAATTTCTATTGAATAATGTAATGAGATTAAAATAAACAGAAATGAGGAACATAATACCTTATTTGTTACCTTTTTGAGTTCCAAGTAGACAGAGCCAAGAATTTAGGAAAATACAGTTTTAATCTCATGATGCAGTTATGTCACTCCTAATAGTTTTCAACCTCTAGATGCAGTACAGAGAACTAGTGCACTTTTAATTCTCTTCTTTTGTTTGACTGTGTCCAAGTTGCTTTTCTTCTATATATAACTTCTAAAAGAAGTGAAAAATGAAAGATGGTGTTTGTTGGTGTGTAGGTAAGAGTCTGTGGAAAACCATGACTTGCATTTAATGCTTTGCATTATGGTACCTGTATTTCTGACTAATATTTTTGAAAATATTGATATGTGATTTTTATTTTAGAGTAAGAATCAGACATTGCTTTATCATTATTTGCTGGAAGTAAAGCTCAGCTGCAGCATAATTGCAACCATTCAAACTAGGATCATAACATCATGGAATCATTTGGATTGGAAGGGACGTTTAGAGGCCACTTAGTCCAGCCAAGGGCCACCTGTGTTCACCATAAGCAGGGACATCTTCAACTATACCAGGTTGTTTAGGGTCTAGTCCAATCTCAGTATTCCTAGGGATGGGCCTTCCACCACCCCTCTGGGCCACCTACTCCAGGATTTACCACCCTCACTGTAAAAAACATCAGTCTCCAAGTAGATAGAGACTGATTAAGCTACAGATAGATAGGTAAATATGTAAACTCTGTATCTGTTTGGGATCTTCAGTGATGTTAACCATTGTGATGTGGCTTGCACGGTGCTTGACCTAATGCCCAGGCAAAGTTTCGTGCTGCTGCTTATGTGTCTGAGCTCTAGCATGTTTCTTTTAAAGTGCTATTTGTGATGCTCTAACTGTCTCAAGGTTTTGAGGATTTTTTAATATAGCATGTGCCTTTGGTGTCCTGAGCATATCCTTCTTTGTCTTGCTTTGCGCTACTCTTCATATAAACATTCCTGACTCACAAACCTTGCTGGATGCAATTTGTCAGCATTCCCCTCTCTGTTAACCCAGGGTTAGGGCTGCCACCTAATTAAATAATCTTCTGCCCTGACCCTTAACAGGCTGTAAGCAGCTTTCCCAGCAAGGCAGGTAAACTCTTGGGACTGAGTGCAATAAAGCTTGAAATACAGTATTTTTAAGCATGGTTGTGTGTTCATATGAAGTAGTGTTTTCTAAAAATCAATAAACTCTTATTTTTCTGTAGTTCTGTATAAGGAAGAAAGGAAAGCAACTTATGAACTGGCTTTGAGAGAAAGTGCTTTCAGTTACAGTGGGCAAGGGAGGATGTACTTTATCAGCAAAAGAGGAAGCCTTTTCAGATAGAAATGAAAACTGTCCTTTCTCAACATGTTTGAATTGCCCGGTTGGTGCAGATCCTGAACGCTTAATATCTGTAAAACCAATGCACCATATTGATTCATCATTTCAATTGTAATAAACCAATAATAAGCAAATCTAAAGATACAAAACTGACGAGAACTGACAAATGGTTGGAAGGATAATGTGCCTCTCATCATATATCTCTCTTACTCCTACATCGGTCTTTTCAGGTGAAAGAAATCGAAGGGAACCTGTCCTTATTTTTCTGGCATATTTGTGAGAGCATGTATAAAGTGCCAAGGCTTGGGAGGAAAGAGAGATGATACTTCTCAGTTCCAGTAAGGCACAGCTGAAAAAACTGATCTAATGAAAGACCAGAAGAATGCTGTGGGGTACAGAAGCCTTGTGAAGCTGTAGATCATAGGGTGAGTTTTAGTTACCCATTGGTTTATTTTGTGTCACTGTGGGATTCTGGATTTCAAATTGCTAGAAGGGATGCAGATGTATGGTTGTCTCTTGCATATGTGCATTTACTGAAACAGTGCTTGTTAATGCTTCTGATCTGTGTATCTCGCTGCCCAAGGTGCTGTGAATTAAATGACCTGATAGTAGGATTATTTGTTTTCAGCTCTTGTTTGTCATTAACAGCCCCCAAGGACTTGAAGCCACAAACTGAAAATCATTACAATAAACTTTTTGTTTTTTTCTTAACTGCGTTATGAAGAGTAACCTTCTGATTTCCTAAACTTACTGCCAGTTCTGGCTAGGATGAACTGAGGATAAAAATTATTCTTTTTATCTTTGTCTCTGTGCCTATAATAATCACATTACCAGATAACTCTCTGCAGAACAATATGGAAACAATTTGCAAGAAAGATTGAGACTAAAAGGTTGTATTTTTCCAGAGACTCTGCTGTTAGTGTAATACTTTCATGCAGTGCTCTTGTTTGCCTAGCAGTTTTTAAGAACTCCTGATGGCATCCAGCTGTAGCTGGGTTTGGTATAATTGGCTGCTTTTTTCCTGAAGACATTTGTTTTGGGGAGTTGTTATGGGCTGACTGCTCAAAGACCTTGCAAGAAATGGAAGCAAGTGCTGGAGTAGTGTTTAATTTTTTTTCCCCACTTATGTGCTTGTTTACAACTTTTGTGAAGTCTCACTTATTTTGCTTAATTCTGCTAGAGATATATGTGTATCAGTCTGACTTGTGAAGTTCTTACCTTCCTGCAGTAACTGACTAAGGCTGTAGAGACTGGGCTGCACAGGTTGTTAGTGAGCTATTAATGTATCTAACTCCAATATTGCAGAATCTCTTGAATTACTGTTTTATCACTGGTCATGCATTGGCTGACTGGTTCAGGTTTGGGCCAGTGCAAATTCTGAAGGTGATGACTCAGGCAGTAAACTAGACCAATGATTAATGGCAAAACAACAATCTGAACTGAAACTATGCCAAAAGGTCTTTATTTGTTCATTGACTTTCTTGTAGTAAAGAGAGAAGTAGGGAACTGCTTTGTTGCTGATCCTCTAACAGTTTGAGCTGGGGACAAATTTTGAATACATGTTAGTAACCTGACACTTTCAAAACTAATCAGCATACATATTTTCCTGTGCAGTACATTTTAGCATATCCGTATGTATTGTAGGGAGTTAATTAGTGCAAGGTGCTGTGTCTATTACCCTCTTTTTGTTGTTATGGAGGACAAAAACAATGGCATTAACAAATGCTGTCTGTGGTGTGATATGTTAAATTGCATCTATCTTACTTGTGCATTGATTCTACAGCTTGTACTGTCATGATCTCTGTGCTCATGTAATCTGTTTTCATTTGCAGTGCTGTCAGCAGTATGAAAAATTAAGTAGCATGTTAGAGCTTTCAAGGAAAACATGACGCAGCATGATCACATATATTAATGTAAATGTTCAGAGCCCTTTAGCTGAGGCAATGAGACCACAGTAAAAGAGTCACCTGTGTGTGGAATTCTCTGCTCAGAGCTGGTGTTCCATGCAGAGACTCTTGGGAGTGCAGACTGAGGACTGTGTCATTTGTCATTGAGGGAGTATAAACCCCTATGCCAATAAGATATGTTTGCCACAGGATGGGATTTTTTCCTTTCCCAGGGAATTCATAAGGTGATATTCTTTTCTCAAGGTGAAAAACACCTGGCCTATCAACTGTGCCTGTCTGTCAGTGTTTGGATCAACATTGGATACCACCTTTTTCTTTTAATGGTATTATGCAGGTATTATGCACCTGCAGCACAGCACTAGAAAATCCCCTCAGCTCTTTGGTGGTGTGTGGAAATTTCAGTAGAAAGTGAAATTGCACTCAAGCTGCTGGATGGGGAGTCTGTGTTTTGTTCACATAAAGCAGGTTCAGGTCCTGAATCCCAAGCATTTAGACTTTCTAGGTTTTATGTTTGCTCTTTGCGCTTGTAGCATGGTATAGTTACCCAAGGAATCATAAATAGGTTTAGCTCCCTGGCATCCTCTTCCTCCTTAGAGGTAAGTAATAGACTGCAGGTATCAGACTGCAACATTTTTGCAAGTGTGTTTGTGTCACTAAAGCTACTGGGAGCTCTTGCTTTGCACTGAAGTTAAAGAATCTATTACAGGAATTAAAAATTGGCGGGACTTGCTGTTAATCCCTGTTAATCTGCAGATTTTGAGTGATTTAAGTCCTTGGGCCTTCATCTCACAGAAGACTGTCTAATTAAAAGGGGCGCTTGCCAGGGATGGTGTGCAGCTTTTTACCCTGGAACAGTGTTAAGTCATGGTGCTTCTGCCTCCTACTTATTTGGCAAAGTACCATCAAGTTTCTGGTGTGGAATTGATTTATAACTTGATTTAATATCAGCTTCTGATCCATCCTGCTGTTTCTGAACTCTCCCACAAGAAAAAAATAGAAATTTTCCATTCCTGAAGGGAGCTGCAATGTTTCCAGAGAAGATTTCAAAAGTTAGAATAAAGACATTGTCTCTTATTTTCCTATCAAAATTCCCCCCGATTCTGTCTCCCTGCAGACAAAATGTATGCATAATGACAGTGAGGTTCCTAAGTAAATACCATGAATTTTTGGGTGTCTTAGTCATACAGTGCTATTTTTTTTCCTCTCTCAATAGGGAAGAATACTGCTCGCTGAAAATTGTGCATTTTATTTTGCAGGCTGCTTTGCAGGCTGAAAACAATTTCAGATTTTGTACTGTAAAGTACCACCACTGGAATTTTGCTGAAGCCCAAACAATTTTCCACTGGCTGATAATACCCTTAAATGTACTGTTCCTAGTTTAAGCAGCATGTTTATATGAGAAGAGATACTCCAGATTGTCTTCAATATGAAATCTAGTTTCAAAAAACCCACTTCTGTAAGCCTTGTCTGTGGCAGGAACAGTAAGACCAGTAATGATTCTAATGCTTTTCAGCTGGTAGGGAATGCAATGGAACATTTTGGATGTTCCATGACCTTGGATCATGTGTTTATGCATAAATAACCAAAAAGAGGCTTAAGAGAACAGTGTAAGAAAAAATAAATAGTGCAGATATAGTTTCAGGATAGTACTCATGGGATGAGACTCTGCTGAAAAAACATTGTATTATCTTTTAAAGAACTTCAGGTTCGTCTTTTCCCATTCAGTTGAAGTTGCCATATGACTCCTTCTGCAGATTTAGGAACAGCTGGTAAATTTGCAGAGGAGAGCTAATGCCCAGGAAAGTAAGGTATGCATTTGAACCTCACAATACCATGAGACCTTTGTGCTGCATGTAAATCCCTGTATTAAAAAAAAAATATGGAAGCTTGTTCAAAGCTTGTTGTAATAAGCATGTTACTAATGCTGTGACTCCATGGGTTAGAACTGAAAAAGATTTACTGAGGTATATCCAGTTCTGCTGGACCCCTGGGACCCAGTGTTCCCAGGGTAAGCACAGCCTGTGGATGAGGTGCTACTGCCATTCTGACAAACCTCAGTGGGATTGCAGTCAGTCTTTTTCCTGTTATAGCTCACACCAATTTTGGACTAGAAGAAACAGCACTGTAGTGGCTTTTTGGTCAACATAATTTGCAGTTTTCTCGCTGACTTGTGCTCACAGGAGTATTTTGCTACCTCCCCTGAGCTAAAAGTGTAGGATGTGTCTGGGAAATGTTTATGTTATGTCCCTCTTGCAAATAGAAACCATTCTGAGCAATAACATCATGGCACAGTGAGGCAACATGCTACTGCCCGATTCTGACATCTGTGGCAAAGAATAAACACCGGTTATCAATACTCTCTTGTGCTGCTGGATATGACCTCTTCAGCTCTAGCAGTAGTTAAACCAAGACCTCAGGAGCAGGCAGCTGAAAGCTTTCATTCTCTGTGTCTGCATCCTATAATCATACTCTGGGATGGAAGGGACTAATTAATGTCTGAATACCTGGGACTACATACCCAGTCTTTTTGCTGATCAAATGCAGCAGCAGTTAGCACTGGATTTAGCCTAAGGTCAGGGACGAGAGAAGGGATGCTGTTAGGGTGAAGGAGTAATCTGTAATCCTCTTGGTGGTGAAACCCAATCTGCCTCTCCTGACCAGGTCAGTCTATATGGATAGCACACCAGATATGCCCACATCTGGCACAGTGATAGAATTCTCTGGTGTGTATGAAGGATTCCACTTTTTCTCACAGATGTAAATTAAGATCTACATTTAATGTTGAACCACCTGCAGCCCTTCTTGTGTGGGCTGTTAGCTTTAAGCACTGCTGTTCTGAGTGCAATAAATAGAGCAATTTTAGATTAATTCTACAGAGAAATAAATTTCAGTATAACCTGGTTTTCAACACTCAAAAATCGTTGGGTATACCCTAAAGCTGTTGCAAACCCTGGGAAGTAAGAAATAGCTGTGTGGAGTAAGCAGTGTTTTAAAAACAAAACAAAAAACTTCCCCAGATATGAGCTGTGTTGTTCTCAGAGCCTCCCAGTTCCTGCAAATCTGAGTGACTCTGCAAATGGACTTGTTAAAGAGGAAATGCTGCTACATGATCGAGGTCCCTGAAGGTGCTAAAAACGAGCAGTGAATGTATAAAGCCAGCAAAGTTTGTGGTGTTAAGATAAAAATCATGCATTGCTGAAGCAGTCAGAACTCCCCTTTTAAGAATATATCTTGTTTTTACAGTGTTCAATTATGTATCTATTTTGCATAATCATTAAGGAAGAACTAGCCTCACAGTGTAAATCCTTTGGTTTATTGGTATTTCAGTAACAGACAGCACACATTTTGCTGCTAAAATGGTTAATTTGTTAGTGATGATGGTTGTTTATCTTGTTCTGAACATATGGGTGTTCATTCTGACTGAATGCATACATGAGTAGATGTATGCTGTAGGATATGATGAAAGCTTAAAGTACTCAGTTCTTGGCATCACAGTAGCCAGTTTAAGTATTTGCTCA